TACCTGGAAGGCAGCTGGGTAGATAGGAATGAAGCTTAAGAGACAGATTTGAGCTGTAGTTGTGCTTTTGGGAGCCTTCATTATGTAGATAACTTGCAAAGCATCAGTGCCCATGAGATTGCTCTGGAAATGTGTGTAGAGTGAGAAGAGGGTTTGATCAGCTCTCAAGAATTATGTTACTAAGTGAATTAAATAAGTAGTGTCTTCTTTAATGGAAACCAAGAAGAGACAGAGGAAAAGAAGTAGAAAATCCAGAAGAACGTATTGGCATAGAGAAGACTTCTAGGGTAAAAAGTAAAGACTTCAAAGTAAAATCTACCAAGAGCTCAAAAGCAAAACAAAACAAAACCTCCCCAAACAAATGAACAAGAAACAAATGAATGACAATGAGGCTACAGACGACCTCGGTAAGAGGAATGCCAATGGAGAGGTAGGCAGGAAGGTCAACACCATGGGTAGAGGACATAAGGGGAGGCGAGTGGAAAGAATAAATGCAGACAAATTTTATAAAGATATTTGACTATGATGGGGAGGAGAGAAAAAGCTGGAGGGAAAAGGAGGGTAGAAAGACTTTTAAAAGTTTAATTTATGTTGGAAAGAAGTAGGGTAAGAAGAGGGGAAGAGGGGAACCAGCAGTTAGCGTAATGGCTGTGTCGCTGGACTCCCACGTAGTCGACCGCGGTTTGCGTCCCGGACCCGGTGGCTTAAAACTCAAGCCGGGCGCGGGTGCGTGTGCGTGTGTGCCCAAGATCCGGAGAGGAGAATGGAGGAGAAGGGATTGCGGCGTGACCATCCCCTCTGGGAGGTGAGTTCTCGCTTTCTGTCTCTATGGCTCTCTCTGTTTCTCTGGCACACACATGCGCCCTATAGCCAAAACCTCTCCAAAAAAAAAAAAAAAGAAGAAGAAGAAGAGGGGAAGAGGAAGGGAGAAAGTGATGCAGGGAGGGACAGAAATGTCAATATTGATTGAGTGTATATGATGATAAAATGATTGACGGATAGGTTGGGGTCACCAAGTAGGCAGGAGGTGATGGAAGCTACAGTCCACCAAGGGACTGGTCACTTTAATTGTGGAGAAGATGGACAAAGTTGCTGGGAAATTTGGAAGTGAGAAACTGAGAGAGCTACTAACTAATGAAGAGCATGTGCTGTAATCTGTATAACAAGGCCACCTGATGAGAAAGTGGTAGGGAGGTCATGCACTGAAGGCTTCAGGACAGTTCAGATTGCTTGATCAGCTGCTGCGGGGAATGGAGAGAGGAGCTGGGAGGACCGGCAGGTAACTGGGTGGAGTTGGGAGCCAGCACTCACAGGAGAACCAGTCTTTGTGTTCATTTGCTTTTCTTCAGTATCTTGGGCACAAGTTAAAAAACAGAGACAAGAAAATTGATCCAGGAGTAGGAGATTTGGAAGGAGACTATGGCAGAAAACAAGTAGTACAGGGGAGTTGGAGGCAGGGGCCATGTGAGGGTCACTGGACTCCATTTGGCTATGGAAGGCCATGAAGATAGGCAGGGACTGAGAGGGAGAAAGTAGGGGAGGAGGTGCCCACGTCGAAGAGCAGTTGTGCTGGGAGAATTGAGTGCTGGAGCCATGGCCGGAGAGAGCGAGGTTTAAGTGGAACTTTTCCGAGGTGGAATATTTTGAGACCAGGTCTGGGGAAGGCTATGGACTGGGTAATCGTGGTTGAGCAGACGGGTGCACAGAGCTGGTCCAGCGGACCCACTGACTCCAGTGGCTCAGGAGACACATCCTGGCTGCCCTGAAAGGCTCAGCGCTGGCTGTGGCTGAATCTGAGACTGATTTATTAGAAAGGTAAAAGAACTTATTCAGGCTTCTCTTTCTTTCTTTCTTTCTTTTTTTTTTTTTTTTCCATTTTTGTTTGCCAGAGGGTCCATGGGCTCTCCAGAGAAAGACACAGAGAGAAAGAGACAATGAGAGATCACTTCCCACGAGGCATGATTACACCCACCACAATCCCCTCTCCTCCATCCTTCCATCCTCTATTCTTCTTCTTCTTTTATTTTATTTGTTTTTTTAAGAGAGAAACTTTTTTCAATAGAGTGCATGCACTCCCTGGAGAGATGGAGAGAGACTTGAGAAACAGAAAGAGAGAAATCACTCCTCAGGGGGATGACCACACCACAACTCCTTCTCTATTCTCCTTTTGTGGGATTTTGGGCACACATGCACACACACCTGGCACGAATTTTAAACTGCTGTGTTTGGGACTTGAACCACAGCCGACCATGTGGTAGTCTAGTGCCTTAACTGCTGTGCTGACCCCCATTCTCTCTTTTGGAATTCTGGGCAAGCATGTACATTTACCTACAGTGTTTTTCAAGCCACCGAGTCTGGTATTCAAACTGATCAATTAGCCATGTGAGATCTCCCACCTTAACTGCTGGGTTGTAGGCTGGCCCCAGGCTTCCCTTTATGTTCACGGTTGCTACAAAATAGAGTATGAGCCCCAGAGTCCACCTTACAGACTTTTCCAAACTAGGTAGCTTGATATCAATTTCTGAATATGGAAATAAACATGCCAGTTTCCATTTCTAGAAGAAAAAGACTCTGTTGAGCTGAACGAAAAAGTACAATATCATGTCCAATGATTCTCCAGGAGGAAAAGATGGTAAAGGGGGGCTGACAGCAAAATGAAGTCAGGAGAAGGAACCGCCGGAGATGTGGAGCAGGCCGCTTTACGTGATCAGGAGCCATGGTGCCACCGGATAGGTCTGCGAGGCACAGCTCGTCCAGGTCTGTGGCAGTGGCTCCCAGATGGTGTTGTGCATGGTACCACCCTGGGATATTTCAAAACTCCTGATGCCCAGAGTTTACTCCACTGCCTGGGGTGAGAGCCAGGCACCAGTGTTTCTTTTTTTGTTTGTTTGTTTTTAGAGAGAGATTTTTGTTATAGGGCACGTGCACTCACCAGAGAGACAGAGAAAGACAGAGAGACAGAAAGTGAGAGATCACCGTTGGCCACACTGCAATCCCTTCTCCTCCATTCTCCTCTTGGGATTTTGGGTATGCGTGCACATGTGCCTGGCATGGGTTTTAAGCTGCTGGGTCCAGGACTTGAACTGTAATCGACTACATGGGAGTCCAGGGACATAAACATTACACCATCTGCTGGCCCCAGGCGTCAGTATTTTTAAACCATGTCTAGATAGTTCCTGTGTACAACAATATTTAGGAACAGAACTTTCTCCTATGGGTTGCAAGAAGGGCACATCTGCGGTGCAGTTGGTGTATGTTTGGCAGTGTCCTCGCTGGAGAGGCTCGGATGCCAGCCGAAGCTCTGCTCAGTGCAAGCTGGCACACCGTGCAGAGGCATGGAGCAGGGAAAGCATATCAGTGAGTGGGTTTCAGGTACATGGAGCCCTCTAGGGTACTGGCTTTCCCAAGAAGTAGAATTTAGAGACCTTGCAATCATGATTTTCAAACTGTGTCTGAGAAGCTCTAGGGACCTGGTAAGAAGGGGGGGAGTCAGAAGCTATTGCGGGGGGAGGACCAAGAGAGGACTAGGAGGCAGGGGATCCCCTGTGAATGGACAGAGGCTACTCTAATTAGATTGTTCACATTTTGGGCTTCCAGGTAAGATACTATTTGAAGTGAAATTTCTTATCCTTAAAAAATAAAGAGAAAGAGAGAGAGGATGAGAATCGTTGATCTAGGGCAGGGTTTGGTCAATTGTGGTCCCTGGGCCTAATAATAGTTGTCTATTTTTAAGTGGTTGGAAAAAGGAACTTATGATACATGAAAATTATGTGAGATTCAAATTTCAGTATTCAGAGTTTCACTGAAACACAGCCACCCCCTTCACTTCGGTTTGTCTGTGGTTGCTTTGTGGCAAAGCGGAGTCGTCAGGATAAAGACCACACGGTTGACAAAGCCGCAGATGTTTACTATGTAGCCCTTCACAGAAAGTATGTGCCAACTCTTATTCTAGGAGAATCAATGGAAATCCCATTTTTGTTTGTTTTTGCAGCGTGGCAATAGTCACCTCACCACGCCTGTCAGGAAATTGTAAGGAGAACATATGTTTTATCCACACAAGCAAGCACTTACTGTATGTGTCGTAGTCTGTTATTGTGTTGCTAACAATACATGAAACTGGGTGATTCTATAAAGACAAGAGAGGGTGACAGGAAAGTCCAAAAGCCTAGGCCTATAGCACGTTGGACGGGAGCAGAGAGGATGATGGGTATGTGCAGAGGAGTGCAGGAAGCTGCTCTTGTTCTTCCTTTCATAGCAACGAGATCTCCCCAGAGCCAACCCCTTCTGAGAGCTAAACCTGGGAATACATTTCTGACATTGACCGAGGTCACTGAATAACATCTGAGAACGTCTTCATGCTGTTTGAACACGTGGATGTGTGTGGCGGTGGTGTCAGGTAGCCATTTGATACTCAGTCTTACTCTTGTTGAAAACTTAATTTAGGGAGTTCAAGGCAGAGACGTTTGAGCTGATGCCGATTATTTCCCTTATAAGTAGGTGGTACTTGCCACTTTTACTCGATTCAACCACCTTGGGGA